AATGAAAAAATAGTCGTAACAAAACCAGAATAATAAGGTGATATTGGAAATGTCATTGCTTTTTGTAATTAAATATGATACCCAGTAATTGTCTGTTTGAAGATTAATTTGAAATTAAAGTTGGCCTTTCAATTTCATAATTCATCTAATGTTCAAATAGAGTTAATTTAGTTTCAAATTTAGTTTAGACTTTTTCTTTTTTTTCAAACATGATGAGGACAACAAAACATAAGAAAACATTTGGAAACGTTGGCCAAATAATACAATTTATGACAGTTATGTTTAAACGAGGTTTATTCTCTTGGTTATACTGTATTGTGAAGTCATTGACACATACAGTACTACTACAAGTCTGGCCTGCTTTCAGCTCCTGTGTGAGTGTGTGTGTGTGTGTGTGTGTGTGTGTGTGTGTGTGTGTGTGTGTGTGTGTGTGTGTGTGTGTGTGTCTTTGTGTGTTTGTGTGTTTGTGTGTCTGCAGACGCTCTGTCTACAGCTAAAGGCACCCCTGATGTTTGAACAACATGTGCAGGTGTAAGAACTCCCGACCTAAAGAGAGAGGGGGAACGTGTGAAAGCCAATTAAGACCCAGGCAGAGGGGAAGGGGGGAGCATCTGTGTCCAAACCTTGTTCTTGGTTCACGTCAGACAAGCTGTGGAGAGCTTTCCCTTTCAACACAAACTACCCCAAAACACACACACACACACACACACACACACACACACACACACACACACACACACACACACACACACACACACACGCACACATGACTCTCAAGCAACAATTGTTTTAATTAGCTTCAAAGGAATATTTCAGCCAAATAATTAGCATTTTGTGTACCAGTTACTCACCCTGTGTTACCTTAAATGTAGTGAGGGAAACTTTCCCACATTCCTCCCACAAGGAGGACCACAAAAACATATCAAAACACTGTTAGAAACTCTCACACTAGATGTGCCTTATAATCCAAGTCACATTGGTCTGTTTTCATGCTCGCTACTTCCCAATCTGATGCATTGTAGCCCCATTACCTTCAATTCATTAAGACTTTTCCTCCGGTTTTGGATTCCACATGAAGGCATGCAGGAAAAACTAAGATTTCTTAACACATTCAAGGTAAAAAAGGATGAGTAGTTGATACACCAAAGATAATTTTGGGGGCTGAAGTAGTCCTTTATTTCAACTTCCACAATCTGTTTAACAATCCATCATTATCTGTGCTTCATTTTGGAAGCAACATTTGTTCTCCAACCATGTCTTTCATGTTCGCAAGGAAAAACAACTCATACATTGCTTGTCTTCAAGGGAATTTCAGGAAAAGGGTGGGAGAAACCAATTCTTGTCTTTCCCTACGGCAAGTCTCCAAAAGAGTGAGAGAGGAGGATGATGGGATTTAACAGTTTGTTAGAAGCCGTGTTCCTCCTACACAGAGACACATTGGAGGAAACCTCAAACCCTTCTATAGATCCTGCTGGGTGCATGGCCACAGGCTCTCGGTGTGTGAATGCACCAGTGTGTTTATTTGTGAGGCAGAGAGTGTGTGTGTTTGTGCAGGCCTCCCGCATATGTGTGTTTGTATGCTGACTTAGAAGTATGTCTGTCAGGCAGGAGGCACACCTGTCTCTGTCCGTCTGAGGGGAGGAGCTGGCAGGGTGGATGCAGTGTCATGTTCTCTCCGTCTACGTCCACACTGTCCCAGCTGAATGAGAAATATTTTTCTTTTCAAATTTCCCACACCCTAAAAGAGAGATTTTGTAATCAGCCTGCAGTGGATAGATCTGAAAAAAACCTTGATTGTTTATTTAGTTTTGTGTGGTTGAGGAAAACCCTTGGCTTTTTGTCCCAGTTCCACTAGATTTTGGCTTTTATACAACACAGAAAAGGAAAGAAATGGTACAAAGAAGTGGCCATTTTTCCGTTGTTCATCTTTAAAGGGGCTCTAATATGCTAATTTCAGGTTTCATAATTGTACTTTGTGCCCCTACTGAGACATGTTTACATGCTTTAATGTTAATATTTGTGCTGCAGCACCTCTTTTCACCCTCTGTCTGAAACCAGAGCCCAGTCTGCTCTGATTGGTCAGCTGACCGGCTCTGTTGTGATTGGTCAACCGTTTAGAGATGTCCCGCCCCTTAGCCTAACATAGAAAATGTGTTGGAGCGCTAGCCAATACAAGCACGAGTGTTACATTGTGATGTCACTATGTTGCAGAAGTAAACAAAGGATTCCTATGGAGGCATTTCAGGCACCACACGGGTGTGTGGGAGAGAAACTCCCTCTGGAGGGAACTATGGGATTTTAGACTTTGCAGACCATTTACATGCACATAAACCTATATGATAAAAACTACAGGAAAGGGAAAAACCCAATAAAGCATAAGGGCCGCTTTGAGAGATCAACCAGAAAATGTTAGTCTATCTATGGATCTATTTCATCTCCATCCTCCCTCTCAGCGTTGATAATAAAGGATCGTTTCAAATTCAAATATTCAGAAATTCTAATATCCTCTCTGCATCCTCTGTCTCGCCCACACATTGGCGTTTGGCCACTGCCTGACAGCAGACAGAAAGGCTTTAGAGGAAAAGGAGACAGAGAGAAAAAAGGAACAATTCAAGGAATGATGGAAAAAAGACAAATATTAAAACAATAGAGAAAGAGCAAGGCAGGAAGAAGTAGAAAAAGAGATCTTGTCAGGGAGGGAGTAGTCATTAAACAAAGTTGTCGTTTCACAAAAGAGGAGGAAGAAACTGTCGCAGGGACGAGGCGTTCTCTTGGGAAAATATGACAGGAACTGTGACACGTACACACGCTTGTAGCATCGCGCACACAGATGCACACACATGCTCGCTGTGCTGCGACAGCTTGCGTCATAACTGTAGTGTTAGTTCCACGCAACACAGACACAAAGCATGATGGGAGTGTGGGAGGTGTAGGACCATCATTATGTCAGGAGCTTATCCACCTGACAAAAAACACACAAAAACTGCATGCACATACACACTCTTTTGTGAGTTCAATCTGCTCCAATTGTCTGGTCTGTTTGTGTCTTTGTGTTACAAGACAAGAGGCAATAAGACAAAAGCGTACACGCACACACAACACACACACACGATTGATATGTCACTCTGTTAGCTAGAGCATGTGTACATTTTGTGTCTATTTCAGTGTCTTTGTGTGTGTACAAGTATTACTCTAATTGCTATTCAAACAGCCACATTAAAGGTACAATGGGTAGGATTTGACGGTTGCGATCTGTAAACCCGGCTTCACAGATAGCCCCTCCCCTCCGGTTTTATGATGGTTACGTTTCTCACCAGGGGTGAAAGCTGCCTTTTGGATGATTGCTCACAATCTAGCACCTGGTCAGTACTTCTTTATAAAAGTTGATACCCAGTAATGCCCTGTAATACAATCAATTAGGGAAATACAGGCAGAGGCAGGGTCTCATGCAGATACAGACATCATCTTGACCCTTTTAGGAGGGGGACTTTATTATGGAACTATTGATATTGTACTGCTGCAATTCTATTGACACAAATCTAGTCCCTAAAATTCAACAACTGACTTGGTTTTTAGTTCTAGTTAAGGGTTGGACATGGATTGTAAAAAATTGTGAAAAGCTTATCAACCCTTTTATATCAATGTATCTTTGATATAAAGAAAACAACACGATTGAGATGGAAGTCAAACTTCAAGTCTCCTTCCAAGTCAAGTTGCTCAAGGAATTTCTGTCCAGGAATCAATTTTAGAGTCAGGCAGGTGTGTCCTTGGTCTCCAGACACTGAGGAATCCTATTAAGTTATGTGTCTGCTGAGTTCCCCTATAACAAAAATGGTGAGATATTACTAAAGAAAGAAGAACCAGGAAAGTGACCTAAATCCACTGGAAAAGGTGGAAAATGTGAATTTCTCCGAGAACTGAAGCCCCCCGGCTGAGTTACAAACATTATTGAATTAGACCTGGGAAAAGATGTAAACTAGAGTAATTTGTTCCAGATTAATCCATTTCTAGCATCAAAGGCTGCAGGGTGCATCTGCAGTTCAAAAAGCTCTCACACTCTCACTTTGACCCCATAGTGTAACAAAAAGCAATAGACACATTTTCGGTCTTCATATCAATTTCATTTTACAAAATGCTATCATTTCTTTTGAAGGCATATCATTGCTTTTATTCAGAATAGCATGAATCTTGTAATTCACAGAATAACAAGTAACTCAGAATGAGTTAAATGTGTGACATAGGATTCATTTTTTAATAGTATTTCTAAAGTGCGTCACACATGTGAATCTATGCCAGATGAAAGGGAGTACGTCATTCTAAATGTGCGCTCTCCTTTTGTTTGTAATAAAATCTATAAAATGGGGATGAATCCGGTATCAGTTGGAGTATATAATCACTCTATTACCGCGCAGTTATTTGTTCTATTTTTCTTCATGCAGGTGGTGCTTTTCCTCCTCCACCATCTGTGAACTGTAAATGTCTTTTGCTGCATTCATAGGAATTGTAATGACGCCTCGGTTGATGGTAACGGTGCTTTCAGAAGACCCTCTAACCACTGATAGATGCAAACAATTTGCTCGTAGCTTCCGTTACGCAGCCGAATCCCATGTGAAGAAAAAACGAATGAAGAAAAAAAGAAAATCTAATAATATCAGAGACAAAGCAGTTTGAAAGGATTCAACCATTTCCTGTTCCTTAAATCAAAGTATGTTTGCTCCTCCCCCACAGAACACCTAATTAGGACATGTATTAAATGTCTGTACATCAAGAACGTACAGTAGATATCAAGCATAGGTTATTAATACCCCTGTGGTAGTGCATTTCATCTTGGAGGAGGTTGATGTATTAAATCCCCCCAAAAAATAATTTGATGCGAATATACCTGAATGTTTCTTGTTTTTGTTTATCTTTACGGTTTATTGCACTTATTGTCATCCGCTTTAGAAAAAAGCATCTGCTAAATGTAATCTAATCTAATGATATTTGTTGGCCCTCTGCAGGTATGACTATGTAGAGATCCACGATGGGAACTCAGAGACCGCTGACCTTCTGGGGAAGCACTGCAGCAACATCGCTCCTGCACCAATCATATCGTCTGGTGCCTCACTCCACATCAAGTTCGTATCCGACTACGCCCACCAAGGGGCGGGCTTCTCGCTGCGCTACGAAATATTCAAAACCGGTAAGTGGTTGCTTCTGCTATGTACTTCTGCCATTTGGCTTTTTAGCTATCTTTATGTTTATAAAAAAGGAGGAAGGCCATGGACAATTCTTTTAAAATGTGAAGAAGATCTGGATCACAGGCCTAAAATACAAATTATTTTTCACTTTTATTAAGATTGCTAGAGAGGACATTTAGCCTTGGCAGGCAGATCTTCACAACCCGAGTGCCCTTCTTTCTTTTTTTTCAAATAACATTACTTTTTACAGACAGTATTTTGTCTGGCAGAAGCAGGGTTGCATAGAATGCAAATGAAAAATCCCAAATTAACTGAGAAGATAAATACTGTACTATTTATCCTCAGAAATGAATGTCGAATAACGAGTTCATGTGAAAGTTTTGGACCTTGATAATTCACTATATATGAGCCATTGAATAAGGCGCAAACAGATTAGCAGTTCTTCTGCAGAAAATTGACATTCATTTCCCAAACAGACAGTAGTTCACAGAAAATATGGAGAAAGAAGCTGGGGATAATGGCTAGACTCAAACAGTGAGCGTTGTGATTAAACCCTAGGATTCCAGGGGGCCCCTGGATGTGACATACTTTTTCCTGATAAAGCGATTCTCTACCTAAAGCCTATATTTTGAGAATCCAAGACCCTCAAGAGGCACATTATCCATGTAAACGACCCTCACACATGAACAGACTTCACAAAAGTTAACAGGATTTTGGTAGGATTTCACCTTTGCAAATAGGCTATTAGCAACTGTATTACAAGCTACTCATAGAGGACTCAACATGCTTCATTAGGTGACCAAGTCTCGTTTATCTCCCCGGTGTCATGGGACACAGAAACGAGAGACACGGCAGAGGACCCTTGAGAGCCCTTTAGACTGTCCAGGCAAGACATCCTTCCCCTTCATGGCACTTTGTGTGTGTGTGTACATGTGTGTGTGCCTGACATGGCTCCCCTTCACGCTGCCATGGGTCAGCCAAAGCGAGACCAATTGAGATCAAGGGCGAGTGAGACAGAGGGGCGCATAGTGTCGGCCCCACAGCCATCTTGTCCCGTTCCCCCTGAAAGCATTCCACACATGCCCGCTTAATTGAGTCCTGAGCCATGTTCCCCAGAGACACCCCCCCACACACACACATACACACATATATGCACAGAGGGCTGAGGTTACTAACACAACACGTGCGCTTGCCGGTGTTTCTCACTCGCTGGCACCAGCCTTTTGGGAGTTCTTGTGTGTGTGTTTTTTGCCAGACAGAGTCCACCAGATAGACTTAAAAACAACAAGGGTGTCAGTGTTCACACCCTAGCACCCTTGGGAGATAAAGAGAGATTCAAACAGAGAGAGATTTGTGAACCATTACATTGATTTTGTACGAATTACATTGTAAACATCAAACACTATCAGGCTACGCATAGTTTCATGGGAAACATTTAGAAATTGAGAGTTGCTTTAATACGAACATAAGTTAGTAAACATCGGCTCACAATTTCAGTACAATAAAAAACAAAAAACAAACAGGTATGACCGTTATTTAAGGGAACCATGTTAAAAGGGTTGGGATTAGGGTTTGTAACTGATTTGATTTGTAAAGGTTTGATAAATCAAAGTTAGGGGTTAGGGTTAGGGTGATAGGATTTACTTTGCCTTTCATACTGTAATTGTTACAAATCTTTGTTAAAAATGATATCTGTTTTATGAAATGTGACAATTTCGAAGTCAAGGTTTGGGTAGGTTTAAATAACGATCATTGGGTTCAAATAAGTACTTGGCTATGGTCATGGATCAAGAGTGGTTATTGTTGAAAGAAAGCCACATCAGCAGCTGGACAATATGTTTAGGCTATGCCACTTGAGTGTAAACACATTGTTGTTGAGGGGCATTTGCAGAAACAACCTATTCTGATTTTTGGTTTGGACGGACTTCGTTTAGAGGGATAAACCACATGCAAAAAACCTTTCTGTTTGGAAAGACGTCTGCTTTGATTGATAAATATGCATTAGCATATACTGGACTTCTTCTTTAGTCTCTGTTTGTGTAACTTTGCGTGAGTGTGTGTATTTATGTGTCTAGCTTTCTCTGGCAGTAATAATGAAGCCATTTGGAACATTCAAGCTGTTGCCATACTGCTAGCACGATCTTGTTATCCTGGAAGGTGCAGCAGAACGTCTGGTTACGTGGGTGACTAGATTTATTTTGTGTGTCTGTTATACTGACTGTATAGCCTCATCGTGAACCGTCAAATATGTTTCTGTCTGTGCTACCCTTGCACATTCTGTTCCGAATTTTTTTTGTTTTTGAAAAGTCTCTCTTTTGTATTTCCAAGGCATTCACTTGATAGCATATATACTGTCACTACTCGAAGCAGAAAATGGGGGGAAATAAGGATAGAGGCACTGTTTAATTAAATGTATTTGTTTGTCTTTATTAGATAATCGCTGGTCTTTGGTTTTTATTTTTGTCTTTAAGAAAATTTAATATTATCAGTTTTTTCTTTTTGCATATTAAATTAAGTCGAGAAAATACACTTTGGAGTTTAAACACATGTGAGTTTAATCATGTATTCATTACTTGAATTAATTTTTTGGGACTCACTCGCCATTTTACTTAATAATCTCTGTTACTTGAAGCATTTTCTATTATTTAGTGAGATTACCTTTTTAGCGACAGCTAAGTGACAGCATTTTCCTCGGGTCATGACTTGTTTAAATTGGTGTTATAATTATTAAACCAAGCTGCTTTAAAAAATAAAAAGTATAGTATATATTTCAGTATAGTTGGTATATATTCTAGTAACCATTTTCTAGTGTTGATAATGGTTTTGCATTTTTCCTTTCTAATCCATCATTCCTTTGTCACTGCTACAATCCCACAATCCCTTACTGTAGCTGGGGTCTGTGTTTTAGATTAATGAGAATGTGTGTGCGTGTATGTTGGGGGGATTGTCCCCCACTCTCCGGGTGTCCTAATTACTGGACCCTTCAAAGATTAACAGTCTAATGAGTTTGAAAACGGGCAGACATACATGAACATAAACGCATATCTAACCTAGAAAACATGTAAACAAACAACAAAAGCAAGCATGTGTTAGGGCTAACCCTGACCGTTTCCATTCTACAGTTACATTTACACAACATATACAGAAGTTCACATACAGTAGAAAGATTATAAATATGGACCTATTACATATTGCACTGAGAAACCCTAACCCTAGTATGCCAACATACACTTGAACAAAGACGTGCGCAAACACTGTAACAAACGCCAAAATTAAGTGCTTTAACAAACACGAAGACTACTTGAACACGAAAACACAAATACACATGCCACACTTGTTTTTGTTTACAGCTCTAACGCTATGGATACTTTAGTAAAATGAAAGCCAATAGGAACACAGCAACCCGGAATGCGGCGACCAATCACCATTCACTGTCTAGGCAGTGTGCCCCCAGCTGTTATTGTGACCCAGAACTCTCCAGACACACACACACACACACACACACACACACACCACACACACACACACACACACACACACACACACACACACACACACACACACACACACACACACACACACACACACACACACACACACACACACACGCGCGGGCACACACACACACACACACACACACACACACACATGAATGCACTAATGCTGGCTGGACAGTTACTCACAAATGCAGGGCAGCTTGCATGTCTGCACGCACATTTTGACTCACTCACCCACATACACACTATTTGTATCAATTAGTTGGACATTTCATTGGCTTACATCAATTTTCTGGTCACTTACCTTAGCCTTAATGTTAACCCCTAACCTCTACCAAACGCGTTAAGAAATAAGGTTATGATTTGCCCAAACCTCTACTAAAAAAACTAATCATAACCTTATTTTGTAACACTTTTACCTTATGGAGACTAGCTTTTGACCCTAATTAGAAGCAAAACCGCTTAGTTCAACTGTGTGAACAGATTTCTGTGAATCAGACACACACACACACTCCTCAGGGGGTATAATGTGGAAGCTATCGTGACAGTCCTTCCAATAACTGCTGTTGTTTACTTTCTACCAAATACCTTTAGGCACTTCCTCTCTGCCTCTGTCCGACTACCCATCTAGCCAGTTTATTACACCGTCCAACCAATCAGATTGCTCCCTCATTCTTCTTCTGGTTTTCATTGTGGAAAGTGGATCCAGATCTGACCCAGTGTGGAGAGAAAAGGAGCTCTGTGGTAGGGCTAATTAAACAAACAGCAGAGGTGTAATTTCCCTCAAAATGCACCACAGATTTAAACCTGAGGTACACCTATGTTCATTTCCTTGGTCTGAAGTGAAGCAAATTATGCAAGGCAAGGCAAGGTAAGGCAAGTGTATTTGTTTAGCACTTTTCAACGCAAGGCTTTTCAAAGTGCTTTACAAAGATGAACAACATTAAGAGCATTAATAAATGGTGCAGAGGAAACAAATGCATTGAAATATATTTTGATATATAGCATGCTTAGCGCGTTAGCTCAGCGTGTTAGCTCCTAACGTGCGTTAGCTCAGCGCGTAAGCTTAGTGCTTAGTGCTGCTTGTCTCTGAAAAAGATAGTTACTCAAAAAGTAATTTATTTCATATTATCAACATCAGACAAATAATGCAGAGCCATAAATGAAAGAGAAGCACTTCTGTGTTTTAGTGACAGCAGAAACAAAATGAAATGCCAACGGCACAAACAGGAAACAGACAAACTTCATGTGTTCATTTCTGTTGAAAAATATTTGTTGATGTGGGTTGGTGTTTTAGGTGATTAGAATAAAACAGGCAGTCTTTAGAGTTATGGCAGACTCTCCAGCACGACAAAATCAAGAATAAATATGTCCCTGATTTACTTGTAGTAAAGTAATGCTGGGTTGTAGGAGCTTTTAGCAAATTGCATTGGAATAGCTAAATGGGTGGTTTTCTTGTGAGAGTTGGATTTCATATATCAGCGTTAATTTGGTTGAAAAGGGAGTTTATTGTGGGGGGAAATCCCTGCTGTGATTCAGTGACAGAGGCTGAAATATAATGTTAGGGCAGTTTCAGCACCACAAACCTGCAACTTAAATGAAACTGAGGTGGAATCTAACCATATATATGGAAAACCCAAGCTGTGGTTTGGAGCTGTGTGTGGGCCTGCGGTGTGTGTGTCTGTCTGTGTGTTTGCGTTAGAGAGAAGGAGGGCATAATTATGGGTTTGATCCAACTAATAGCCCATTGGCATGAACGACAATTTAAACGAAAGTATATGTCTGCATGCCAGCTTACCACACACACACACACACACACACACACACACACACACACACACACACACACACACACACACACACACACACACACACACACACACACACTTCCTCTAACCTTACCCCATAGTGAAACACGTGTTTCTTTCACAGTCTTCCAAGTCAAACAGATGGGAAGTGAGGAGAAAAGAATAGGAAATGAGACGGTGGGAGGGAAGGGAGTGATGGAGCTGTGGAAGATGAAAAGGTACATGGGACTATGGTAAAAAAAAAAGAACAGCAGGAGAGAAGACAGTTGGAAAGATCATCAAAAAGAAGAGAAGTGCGATAAACCATTTTCTAAGGAAAGGAGAAATGAATTAGGAGAGAAGTCGAACAGGACAAAAGTCATAGAAATCAGAAATATGTACAGGGGAGACAACATGCTGGTTGGAATAGTTTAAACTTTAAACAAATTTAAAATACATTCCTTTTTTGCGTTTCAGTTTACTTTAAAAATAGAAACAAGGAGGGACAAGGTGGAGACAGGCGTGTGAGAGAATCTGGAGAAGGGTACAGACTGAGAAAGAATGGAGGGCACAAGTGTTTTGGTGATGTTCATGAACATGAAGTAATGAGAAGGGAATAAAATTGCTGCCGGCCACGGAACTGGTCATGCGTTCACTACACACTCACACACACACATGCTCTTACTCACGGAGACCGGCGCTATCCAGCGACTGACTCTGCAGGGGGGCCAGACGCAAGGGGATCCCAGTGAGAGACAGTGTGTGTCCGCGTGCAAGTGTGTGTTTGCTTGTATATAAGATCATTGCACGAGGGGTCACAATAACACGCAAATGAGGCGAGGAAGTGGGACAGAAAAACAGACAAACGGGGATGGATCAAGACAAACAGACAGTCCCTAATGCACTATAAATAGATTGGTTGCTGTGGAAAATGGACAATCACATACATGTTTGGTAGGCATTCATATAGATTAGCAAGCAAACCAACATGGGCAGGTTTTTTTTAAATGTATTTCAACTTCTGTAAAATGTAACACCACATTATATTGGCCATATTACAGATTTTGGAATATTTTTCCCTAGGGATGCTGCGGTGGAGGGTCAGTGAAATTCCTGAACAAACGTAAACTGATTAAAAATTAAAGTAGAAGAGGAAGGGTGGAGACAGGAAAATAACAATGTCAATATTCCTGGCTACACCTAGAAAAGTTTGTTTTCATCATGAAAGTGCAGGGCCTAACGCACACATTCTGCTTGTGTTTCCGTCCGGTTTAGCAATCTAGTTTCCATGGAGATTTCCAGCAAAACTAGCCGTTTTTAGCTCTAGACCAATTTCAATATTGACAGCACTCAAAGCCCAACACACACAAGTGAGAAGAAGACACTTTTTGTTCCAGTTATGAACACAAAATGGGGGTACAATCGTCATAGACCCTCGAGACAGACACAAAATGAGGCTAAAACATGTCTGATGCAGACTTATTGTTACACCTAATTGTACATAGACACGCACACACATGTTTAAATGCACTTTGCATGCCAGAGTACACACACACTCTCTTAATGTGCTCTTAGACGCTTTTTCTTCACAAACTCATGCAAGCACGCCAGCACAATAGCTGACAGTCGAACAGACTGGAGAGAAATGGGTTACCATATGGCTGGGTAGATTGGAATAATGGTCCAGTTGCTGTGACCACATCCACTCCATAGCATTTGTGTGTGAGTATTAATAGAGAGGGTATTACAGTTATTCAGAAAGGAAGGGCTCCAGATTACCCCCAGATCTGTGTGTGTGTGTGTGTGTGTGTGTGTGTGTGTGTGTGTGTGTGTGTGTGTGTGTGTGTGTGTGTGTGTGTGTGTGTGTGTGTGTGTGTGTGTGTTTGTTTGTTTCTCATAACTACTGGACCACCCAACCATGATACTATCAACAGATTACATCTATCTGTCTCTTCTGTTTACATCTTTATCATATCTTTATTTCTTTGTTGCTCTGTCTCCCTAAGCTCCAGTTTTCTTCTTCTCTAGTGTTCTTCTTCTCTTTATTCAGGACAGCTAAAGCTCAATCTCTGACCAAGTAAAGATTGTAGACTGGTGGCTAGAGAGTTGTTTACCTCTTGGGCACTACAAAGGTGCCCTTGAGCAAGGCACCAAACCTGTAACGGTTCAGTCATATGTTGCAGTGACCTATCAATCTGATCTCTCAACATTGATGCATGTGCCTTTTGTTGATCAAGAAATGAACAAAAACAACATAATTAAACCATACATTTTCAGGAAATAAACAAACATTACATTATTAGTATGTCCTGCTGTTTTAAATGAATTCCGTAACTATTTATTAATAGGCAAATTAATATCAATGTTTCTTTGGAGTTAATGTTGCCCCTGCATATCCCCCGGGAACCTGTCGAGTTAGGGTTAGGGTTAGCATTTTGCTGATGTACACTTAAGACACACAAGTAGATGCACATTGTTGTTACCGACACCCACAATTGGTCTTTCAACCACTTAGTCCACTATAGCAGGGGTTCCCAAACTTTCCAGCCCGCGACCCCCAACATAACAGTGCCAGAGACTGGCGACCCCTGTCAACGGGGTTAACTTCTTGTTAAAATGTATGTGCGTTTTTTATGAGCTGGTAAACCTGAATCAATTCGTTTTCCATTAATCGTTCCTCCTAGTTGACCATTGTGAAGTCCTTGAGTGAGATTTCTATCAGCAAGATTCACGTCTACATTAAAACTACCGTTTCAAGTCCAGCAAAACCCAACTGGGCTCTAAATACATCCTGTTCTTTGTTTAATGTACATGATGTGGATTCAGAGTAAAGCCAGACTTATTTTTGGTCAATAAAGCGGGATAGCTACACTGGGAGTCATAACATTGTGAGGCAGTTTGAAAACAAAACAGCACCTCTGAGCATCTTCTCACAATGATTTCATTAGTTTGAGGTATCATCCCTTGAACGTTCATTTGTTAAATCTCAAACTACGGTTATTTTTTATTTTCTGCTCAATATGTCTCTCAATATATTTTATGTCTGTGTGTTCTTCCCAGGCTCAGACTGTTCCCGTAACTTCACCAGTCCCACGGGTCTCATTGAGTCCCCAGGCTTCCCTGACAAATACCCCCACAACCTTGAGTGCTCCTTCATCATCATTGTCCCTCCCAGCATGGATGTGACCCTCATCTTCCTCACTTTTGACCTGGAGAACGACCCCCTGCCAGGTGGAGAGGGAGAGTGCAAGTACGACTGGCTGGAAGTGTGGGACGGGCTCCCAGGAGGTGAGAAATTTGTCAACTTGATGTTATTATGGGTCGTATTAGACCAGGGGTATCCAAACTTTTTTCACCGAGGGCCACATACAGAAAGATATTTGAAGGGCTGGGCCACTCAGGTTTATTGCCTCATAAGTGAAGTTATAAGTTAGCAAAATCAATCAAATGTAAGTCAATGATGCTTGATTCAAAAGCCTACATGACAGCTTTCCATAGGGTTTCATTTATTTTGTTAGCAGCTCATTCCTTAAACAGAAGCATTAGATTGCTTTTCGTGAGAGGAAATAGGAAGGGTATAATTCAAGGTTGTTATGTAAGTAACTTATTGGGCTTTTTTCTTATCAACTTAGATTTGTGAGAACATATTTTCAACTTTAATTGACTGAAAGTGGGCTTGTTAACACATGAACACTACTGTGTAATATATGTTTACAGATTTATTTAAGAAGTACAATACAATAAAAGACAAGCTCAAGTTTCAAGTTTCCATTATACTTTTTGAATTTGCTGAGGACCGATTCAAAATGGCCTGCATTTAGTTTGGACACCGCTGTATTAGATAGTGGTGGCAATTATGGATGTTGAGGATCTTTTTTAGAGGTGTTGAACAAAGATTCAACCATTTCTGGAGGCAAAACATAGAGCCAAGTTAAAATGTTGCAAATTCTGCCCTGCCTACATCATTATTGACTGCAACTATTTTAGTGGCTATGCGTTGGTAGATGAAAGCCAAGCTTACAGGCAGGATAGGATGTTGGCACCTTCTGTGGAGAAACAACATAGCGTTTCATGGGGGAAATAAAATAGGTGTTGCTGAGAGGAGGGAGAAAAGAGGGGAGGTGAGAGGAGGAACGGTAGAGGGCTCGGATATTTCTGTTGGAAGGAATGGAAGAGTTTAGAAACTCTATGGTGCAACGATCTTGGATCTGGTTTCAAGAGATGGACGAGGTAGAAAGAAAAAGAAGGGCAAGGAAAGGTTCCTCCACTGCTGGGTGGACTGGAACAAAGGAAGGAAAAGATAGATATGAATACATGAAGGCCAGAAGACCTCTGGTCCGCCTTCAAAAAAACTGGGAGGCAACTGGCAACTGGGAATGGCAGAGGAAGGAAGATTCTTTGCTGCAGTGTTCTAAACCATTCTATTCTGGTTTAACTATTTATTTTGAGTTTTTTGTGAGATATTTAGGCCAGATTTCAGAAATGGAACAATTTGATTGGAGACCTTGTTTTATTGCTTAATTCACAAATCTTGTAAGGTACTTAGAACTTTCCCAGAAAAGACTGAACAACATTATGTGCACAGTAAAGGAGAGCAAACAATGGTTATTTTCTTCTTTTAAATAACTTTCTGTATGAATTCAGCCTGAGGATTGAAGAAAAGACACAGTGATGGTACAAAGAAAAAAGCGAGTTGAGACAAGAAACAGAAAGGAGTCTATAGTCCTAAGTAAGAAGAGAAGACAAGATAAAAGACAGATGGACAGGGAACAAGAATAGCCACGTTACTTTCTTGTAAAATGTGATGGCGGAAGGGAGCAGAAGTTGAAAGATGTGTTCATTCAAAGAAAAAATTAAAAGGCACTCCTAGCTTTATTGTTGTGAGTGCAATAAATCACTAACGTTCTTTTATTTGTATTTGTTTAGCACTTCCAGCAATTGTCATATGGGTGTGGTTTGTTGGTATTTAGGTCACCTGTGTCATGCTGCGCGTTGGATGACAAAGAAAGACAAACTTGGTCCTCATTTAGTTTAGTTATTAGTTTGTATTTTGACATGCGTCACAGCTATAAGCCAAGTGTAGCCTATTCGCAGCTCAATGTATTGGGAATCGAGCCGCCACAGTGCGTTTGTGTTTTACTTCAGTGGCTACTTAACTCATTCCGATCAAAAGTGTCACATATCCAAATTATGAAGCTATGAAGGGGGGCAATGCCATTGGTTTAACTGTCTGTCTGTGCACATACTGTATGGGGTGAGGCAAGGGACAAATGTGCCTTCTATTATGAAAGATTTAAGTCATAAATAAAGAGGGAGATGGAGAAATAGGACCGGTTTTGCCTGTAAGCTACACATAATAAAAATAAAATCCTCCAAATAAAATCACATTTATTCAACCTTACATACAAACATGGGTTATTTGTTTATTTACAGAAATCATCTTGGTGGATTTGAGATTCTCTTTTTTTTTTTCTCTGTCCGTGCCACCATCAACAAAATAGTTATTGCCGTTATTTGCTTAAGAGCCCTATCTCAAATATCCACCCGCTCCAACAGGGTAGGAAAAAAAATCAATAGCACTGATCGATTGGAGGCTATTTTCTTCCTCTTCCTCCTCCACAAGGCTCCTGGTGTGTGTACAGTATCTATGTGTGTGTGTGAGAGGAGTCAGGGAGTAGCAGGATGAAACTACTATTTGTGCTCCCACCCCACACACTCACACCCCAGGGCTTTAAATCATATTCATCTGTTTGTGTTGACACATACAAGTTGTGGTATTAGAGAAGAGGAGAGTGGAGGAATCACTTAGATCCCTGGATTTACACACACATATACTATATATAGTGCACATTGTAAAAGCAAGGCCAGAGATTGAGTTTATGAAGATGAAGGAATGAGGGGCGATGCCATGAGAGGGCAGAGCAATGAGAAGGGAGTGATAGAGATAGTGGGAGAAAGGGAAGACAAGCAAACACATGTGAGGATAAAGGGATTGATAAAGGAATGAGATGTAATGTCATGTGTTACCAGCATCATGAGTTACACAATAAAAACAGCAAATGATGAAACGCACAAGTTACCGACAGATAACACACTGACCAATCCAATACATCTTGTCTGATCGACAGTGGGCCCTCTGATTGGTCGATACTGTGGGACCAGGGTGCCTCCTGAGATTCAATCGTCCACTGGGATTCTCTCTCTGGCCTTCCACACGGACATGGCTGTGGCTAAAGATGGCTTCTCGGCTCGATACAACATGACTCACAAGGAAGTCAGTGAGAGTAAGTCTAATTTAGGCTTTTTATTTCAAGAAATACTAGAATATTGGAAATATCTCTTTCTAAACCTCCCTCTCTTCTGCTCTTCCTCTTCTTAGCTTTCCACTGTAGTAATGCTTTCGGTATGGAGTCAGGAAAGATCACAGATGACCAGATCACAGCCTCGTCGAGTTTCTACGATGAACACTGGCTGCCTCGACAGGCCCGACTCAATTACCATGACAACGGATGGACGCCCAATGAAGACAGCAACAGGGAGTTGATACAGGTAACAGTTTGTCCTCAAATGTACTTTAGCTACCTGGAGCTTCTTTTGTGTTCATTATGACATGGCCTCATTGAGGCATTGTAGCCCCAAACGAGCTGTATTTTCTCATTTATTTTGGGCATTATAAAAAAGGACATACCAAACTGAATACTCAAATACATGTAATAACTACATAACCGTCCACAAATCACAAATAGAGAAGAAGGAAAAAGGAAAAACAGGAAGAAGCCTCCCCCCAAAAAGAACAACAACCATAACTTATACGATAGTCCTAACACATATTGGATACAACAACCATGTATGTGGAAGGTTACAAAAAAGTTCATAAACTTAACTTAAAAAGAATAATACAAATAATACAAAAATAATTTCTTGGAGAAATTCATTCTTTGTGATACGGCACAAATCCACGATCCCAATCCTGGAATACAGAGTCTTATTCCTGAAAAAAAGTTTACTCTGCCTAAACTAAAAACAGATTCTGCTCCTACTTTAATAACATATTTTCTCTTGCGTTGACATGTCACACATAATAACTTCACCACAGCTATATTTGTGACAGCGTATGTTGGAGAGAGTGAGAGAGAGTGAGTGGGAGGTGTAGTTATATCAAGGTTTAGCAGCTAGATGCTTGGGTAAAGCATTGTTTCCTGTACTTTATCACAGTGCCAACTTCCTGCCATCCCTGTGCCAAGCTTGAGTTATGAGGCTGTCTGGGTGAGAGGGGAAAGGGAGTGTGAGGTTCACTCAACCCTCAGACAGAATGAATTCCAACCTGCCTGCAAGGCGCTCTTCAGAGTGAGGCCTTCTATAAACAACAGATTATCTTGTTGGGTGTCACCTTCCTGTAGCCTTGCGAAGACTGCGCACAGGTTTTGTCTTTACTTATTGTCAAAAAAGCCTTTGTGAAATAGGCGTCAACTCATGATTTCCCTTCATTAAGTTATCAGTTTGAACCTTTCCTGTACCCAATGTCAGATGTGCCGGAGGAGTTTCAAGAGTCAGAAACTCTCCTCATCGCCTGAATCGTTTCTTAGAGTTCGACATCTGGTTCAGGATACCAGCGAGAGCCTTTCTGACTTGTAGCACAATAACACCACAAAACAACTGGCACGAAAAAGCCTTTCTTTTGTGCAGCATACTTTTTCTATCTTTTCTAAAGCCTGTGATTAGCCAAGAGATGCTGCTTCTGAGTAATGATCAAGCGTTTCCTCAGTTTACAGAGACAGTGATAAATGAGTGTTTTGCTCAAAGTGGCAAGAACCACCCAAGCCCTTCTTCTGTTAATTCGTTGGAACACATTTACAGATAGCTAAAGACAAATGTGGAAAAGAAGCAGTAGTTCTGATTGTCAGAGCTCCACTGGGACCGAACTCTGGGCCAGGCAAACACAGGAAGGGAACGTGGCCAAGAGACAGCATGAGGCCAAGGCTCCATCAGCCCCACGCTTCCTTCCTGTTTCACCTCCAGTGCAGCTGACAGCTCACTCCCTCCGGCCCATACTCTCAGAATTAGCTGACATTCTTGATCAACATGAATAGCTTGAAACACTCCATATTTCTAGAATGTTTTTCCCCTTTATGTCAGATTGCCAAACTGGTCCTCTTAGCCCATGGATAGACCCCAGATTTAAATTTGTATTATTCATCTGCGCCTGGAAAAGCCATGGCCAGAGGCAGTATGTTTTTTGGTTGTCCATCCGGACATCTGTACATCCGGGAACGCAATATCTCAGGAAAGCCTGGGAGGAATTTCTTAAAACTTGAAACAAACATCCATTTGTACTCAATGATGAACTGATTTGATTTTGTTGCTCAAGGTTCAGGGTCACTCTGACCTCACCAAACAAGTATCCAGCAATAACACAATCATTAATATGCTTAAACCATAACATTATGATATTTATGACAAACATGGATACAAACTCCAACTTAACTGATTGGTGGAGGCTTTCAATCACAAGTCGATCATTCGAATTGTTCATGACACATCAGATCTGTGCATGAAATTGTCTTTATGGTTGGCTATAGGCTAGTACTCCTCTCGTGTAGTCTCACTCTGGTCACCGGTGTTGTGGTGAGGTTGCTGCGTTCCACTGAGGCTTTCAGCTGTTCCCCTGCGTTAGCACCTAGCAGAGAGCATGGCCCCTGCATTTGTGTGTGTGTATGTGTGTGTACTTTAGTGTGTGGTTGTGTATGTGTGTGCGTGCAACCTCCTCTCTTGACAAGCAGCTGTCATAGATGCCAACATGCCTCTCTTTCTCGCATCATGCACCCCCTGGTCTCTTATAACTGAGTGTGTGGGTTCATCAGTACATCTCTCTCTCTGTGTGTGTGTGTGTGTGTGTGTGTGTGTGTGTGTGTGTGTGTGTGTGTGTGTGTGTGTGTGTGTGTGTGTGTATATGTGCCCATGCCAGTCAGGCATGTGTGTGTGGCTATGTTGGTTCAAGGGCCACGTGTGTGGTTTGAATCTCTCGCCAGGGCACTTAGTTCAATTCCATTCCATATATTTGTTTAAAGATATTTATAAGGCATTTCGGCCTCTATTTGAAAACTGACAGTGCACCTCAGTGTATTCAGTGTCTTTCATAATCGTACTTGTGATTTGCAACACAAACCTATGATGGACGACAGGTGCAAACACGGTACAACGGTCCAAAACATTTTCGTTCAGAAAAACGCTCTGCAGTATCAAAGATTAGGCAGACACAGAAATGCAAATGTGCCAAAACACTTAAATGAAGAAACATCTCCAACTTAACTCAACTAAACTCGTTGGCACAGTTTGCCAGTTTCTTAACAGTACGTTATTATGCGTTATATTTTAAATGACTTGGTTAGCTAGGTTAGCTAACTATATTACAACGGCTATGCAATAATATCGGAAGGAATCATGCGATCACATTGTTAAAATAAGCCAATAAAACTTAAATTTTCAGTTGGCCAACTTCATAATGCCTGAATGAAAGCGCTTGATAGTTTCCCCGTTTCAGTTGTGTTTTGAGCTTATGTAGCGTTTCATTTATTTGCAGCGTTTTGCACTTGCATTTGTTGTAAAGTTGGTGAATATGTTTTTTGCATTTGCATGTGTTTTGGCACATGTGTGTTTTATATCTGAATTGTTTCTGAAGCTGCGTTTTCCGAGCTGAGTTTCTCCAAGTGTAAATGCTTTGGGCAGTTGTTTCATGTTTACATCTGATGGCCACCGCACATATCAAATCCCACCCCAATAAAACCAGTTGAATAGGAAATGTAATTAAAAGAGTGGTACTAGATGCAACAATGGTCCCAAGGCTAGTATCAAGCTTGGACATTGCGGTTTTATGTCATGTCATTTAACCACTTGGCCAAGGTGCTCCTATTCCAATCTTTTCAGTTCTTTTCTGGTATGGTCTAGTGAGGTGTGGTGCAGATTGATGATACGAGTTCCTGTGCCTCCGTTATTCTAACAACTCTGTGATTGATGAGAAGCCCTTCCTTGGAAAGGCTCACTTAGCGTCTCTCTCTCTTTCTCTCTCTCTCTCTCTCATGCTCTCTCTCATGCTCTCTCTCGCTCTCTTTCTCCTTCTCTTACTCCACACCCCTCCTCTTCTCATCCATTCCTCTCCTTGGTTCCGGACCATCGATTAGTTGTCTTGGTGGATCCCTGACTGGCCGTAAGCGTGTGTGTGTATGTGTGTTTATGTTGGAAGTAATCTAAAACACCTGTCTCGCTGACAGATAACAAACGCAGCATTTGACCTCCCCCGGTGTTTTGTACTATACTCCAGTGGGACACACGGCACACGCTCTCACGCACACACAACAAGTTCTGATTAATCTACAGGTTTCAGCAGCTCCAACAGGGGAGAATAAATGTTTTAACCTACAGCAGAATCTTTCTCATCTTCTGCTCTTTATTTGTTTGCACCCTCTCTCTGTCTCTACACCCTCGGCCTCGTTGTGTTAATAAGGACTTGGATCTCCAGCTCATTTCCTAACAGAGAACATGATTCATGTAAATGTAGGGCTTACACATGTGAAGTATTCATCTTAAACAGTTGCAGATGAACCTCAACAAACCCTAGATAAAAGTACAACATATACATATCACCATAACAATATCATATCTTGTTTTTTTTCTTTTACTTTAAATGTATTAGAATATATGAAAATACATTTTCCATTACTTTTAAATCTGATATAGAGGGCTTAATTGTTCTGCTTTGTCTACTCATTGTGGGCACGCTAAAGGAAAACAAATGCGTCTAGAAATTAAAGATTTTGAAGCTCACATTAAGCACACAATGCTGGCCATGTATAATGCAACACAGCCAGCAGCATGCCAGACACGTAGCCTAGCATCCACAATCAGGATGGAAAGGTGATTATGGCTATTGTATGGGAGGAAATTAAAAAGAGCCCCAGGTCATTACTATCGATCTGCCAGGAGAGGGCACGGAGAGGAGAGAAAGAAGGAGATGAAAGTAGAGTGGAAAAGGTGCGAGATGGATGCTGATAAGTTCAAGTGTATATTTATGAGGTTATGTCCATCTTTTAAACAAATTGATGTTTTAAGAGCTTCAGCCTGAGGGCATCTCTTAAGTGTATGACCTGACTTTTTGGGTAAGGTAAAGATTACATTGAGATTGGTTAGGGTTAGGGTCAGCTTGTTTGCTATGTTTTGTTCATGATGTTTTTAGTCTTTGATAAAACCTCCTTTCTCCTCCCTGCCAACAGGTGGACCTCCATACTTTAAAGGTGCTAACAGGCATTGCCACCCAGGGCGCCATTTCAAAGGAAACTGAAAAGGCTTACCATGTCACCACCTTCAAGCTGGAGGTCAGCACCAACGGAGAGGACTGGATGGTCTACAGACATGGCAAGAATCATAAGGTAGGCCCCGACTCATTAGCCGACTTGTTAATTTGTTAACAATATTTTATATGCCAGACGTACTTATTCAACTACACTACTAAGCGATGGAAAAGGGGGGATGTCAGGTCAACAATATAGATTTTACAAAACAATGGGAATGGCATCCCAATTTTAACAATGTCTCAAAAAAATGACTTCCCCATACAATAAAACTGCATTTAAATGACTTTACGGAGAAGTGTGGTTACTTATGGATGGTAAATTATGTAATTTGAAACAAAACAAAAAAACATGTTTGGCTTAAAATAAGTATGTTTTTGTGTTTTCAATTATTGACATTAAAATTCAAGAATAAATATTTTATTTTAAATTCAATTGACAATGAAGTATTGTTGAATGTGAACGAAATCTATAGGTAACCAGCTTAGCCTCCCCTGACCCTCACCCTAATCCTCTACAGCTCAGACTTACGCACAGACCATCAAACAGCAGATGCACAAAAAACATGAAGTAGTCATGGCTAGAGAGAGAGTCTGGAGGCTCTTAGGTGACAAACATGCCTCGACATGCACACACGTGGAAGGGGCAGAGAAACATATGAGACGGAATAAATGCAGCAACACTTGACCACAAGCCCAAACTCCAACCGGTGTATGCAATTACAGCCATTCCATTTCCACCGCCGCTCAGTTGGCTTCATTTAAGGGTTTACGACCAAGCCAGAATCAGCACACGTCTCCAAGTGATACCTTACATCACTGCGTGCAGCTACGCTTACAGTAGACTGCAGAGTCTGCTTTCCACATCCCATCTGGTTTCTGTTACTCACCGGTCAGAGTTCTGCCTAGTATCGACCAAGTTGGACATGTTTGGAGGCTGTTTCTTTCTCTCAGCGGTGTTAATACATGATGAATCATCATTGAGTGTGCTGCAGTATGGTCCTGGGTAGAAAACGAAGCAGACATTACTGAGTTTATTTAAAATGGTTTCAACTGCAATTAAAGCAGCGTTCCAGTGGTTGCGGCTGTTTTTTCCATCACGGCCGTTCTCCCACCACCACAGCAGTCACATATGTTTGTCCTGCGGTGTAACGCCACGTCTGGTTTTGCGCTGTAAAACCCTTATTCCTTCATGAACACTTAATACATGCACACACACTCAGATGCATGTGTACAGTGCAAATTCTTATTTTGCTTTGAGAAGGAAACAGGAGATCCAGTCTAACCATCTGGGGATCCTCTGCGGACTGCGTATGGCTTATGGATGTAATTCCCAGAGAAATGATTGATGGATAAAACACAGGGGTTGTGGAGAAAGGCAGTCAGGGAGAAAAATAAATAAATAAATGGAGGGATGATAGAAGAATGAGGAGTGGTGAGTGAGTGTAAAGGTACAGTAGATCAGGTTTTTTAATTTTTAAGCTCAGTAACAATTAGATTGTGTTATTTTAATTGGTGAAGTGAGAGCACGTGAATTCACATCTTTTTTTTTTAAATGGGGAATTGTTCAACAAATCAATTGATCAATGAATCCACCCTTAAATCACGTCCGTTGTCAGTCAAATAGAAGTATTCTGCTGACAACAGGCTATGAAACAGTTACAATCCAATCCACAAAACCAATTATTGATGATGTTTTAAGGGCTGTTGTTGTTGTCACCGCCCATAATCCCCCAGATTCCTGGATAACCCTTGATAGCTGCTTCAAAGCTGAAAGCCAAGAGAGACGCAAAAGGGTGTGTGCATGTGAGTGTGGGTCTTTGAGGAGGAGGAGGAGGAGGAGGAGGAGGAGGAGGAGGAGTAGGAGGAGGGGTTTAGAATAAATCAGCAGTAACTTCTGGTAGAATATCCCTCCCTTGTCTTCCACACACACATTTATGCACAACCTCAAACCAACGGTCTCTTGAGCCCCCATGGTGAGACAGTCTGTGCAGTAATCTGATGGATCAGCCAAGGGCCGTCAGACCTTTCTTTTGATCAAATACTGTAAAACGTAGTCCCATTTGTACATTAGGGATACAAACCAGATGTATATTAACAGTTTGTTTTCTTGGTTGTCCATATAGTAATTTTCACTGCGTGTATTTGTACGCGAGGCATCTATATCCGCCTCTTTATTCCAAGAGTTTTCCGACTAGTCCTACTATGCTGTGATTTACAAGTAATTGTTGCCTTCAAGCATCTTTGTGATTGGAAGAAATATGCTAAGATTTTTAGTGTTCTCTATCATACATGTAGGGTTAGGGTCTTCGAACAGAGAAGTATTTGGATACAATTGAAATGGACTTAAGTATACATTGTACAGGCTTTGGTATCAATGTCATAGTGCTGCCTCTGTCCTGAGAAAGAAAGACATAAGAAGAAGAAAAGGGTAGCAAGAGAGCTTGGAGAAGACGAAAAGAGTGATGGTCCTTTATCTGATGTTGAAATGATGGTGTCAGCCTCTTTGGGCCGTTCTCAGCTGACATGCCTCAAGCGACCAATCAGCAACGGGTTTTCCGTTCCCACTGTCAATATTTAGGGCGTAAATGAGAGTCTGTCTGTTATGTTTAAATAAATAACTCAACAGCAATGGCCCAGAAGATCAAGTGTTTTAAATATCGGGCGTGTCTGCATTCTCAGGATAATCCACGGAAATTGTTTTCATAATTTAGAGCAGATCCTGGATCATTCCACGTAGGGATAAAGCATGTCAATGTACACAAAATAGCCAAAGTAAGATTCGCTTTAAGATCAAGTACATTTTCAAACAAGGTTAAGGGATATAATTACCCAAACTCCTCTTTGCTTAACTTCTTGAACCTGCTCTGAACTGTTCCATTATCCATCCATCTCTCGACATTTTCATTCACTAACCCGTTCACTAGTTCTCTCAAAATCTATCTGTCATCAATCAAATCCTCCTTTCTTGTCTCCACGCTCACATCTTCATTCACCTCATCCCACCACTCTTGCTCTCTTTTCTACGCCTCCTCCTTTTCTACCCCCCCATATGTTTCTGAGAAAGTTTATGCTGCTCGAACAGATGACTTTTTGTGCTTGGTAAAGTGTGTGTGTGTGTGTGTGTGTGTGTGTGTGTGTGTGTGTGTGTGTGTGTGTGTGTGTGTGTGTGTGTGTGTGTGTGTGTGTGTGTGTGTGTGTGTGTGTGTGTGTGTGTGTGTGTGTGTGTGTGTGTGTGTGTGTGTGTGTGTGTGTGTGTGAATCTGGAAGAATGATTGAATTAGTGTTTTATGAGCAAGAGGCATGAAAGGAGGAGCCTCATGGTTATTTAAAACAAAAAGTATGAGCATGCCAATCTTTCAATGCTCATGCAAGACACAAATAAACAACACATACACACACATGTATACTTGTTGTATTTTACCATTAGTCTCAGATGAGCAATTCTTAATAAAGCAGTCACCGTGCACGCAGAGACACACACACACACTCTGGTTTTAAACATCTGGAAGCCAGCCCATGTGTCAGACAGCATCAGGATGATTTGTGTGATCTGTAATGTATTTGATAATGTCATTAAATCCCTGTCGTAAACCAGATGGGACATATGGAATATATGTTAACTTTTCAGAAAATAGCAAAAGTAATATTCATACGGCATTCATTCCTACATTACACTGACAGACTCAAAAATGAGTTGACAGGTACTAACTCAAGGCATTCACCAGAGAAAGAGTGGGGAAAGCAGACAGAAGGAATAAGACACATGGGGGACAAGATTATATAAAAAATCACAATTTCAGAGCCAATTAGCCGTGTGTTTTCTCGAAAATTTATTGTGATTCAATGCTTTGTTAACAGAGCAAAGCTATAAGCAAATGTTTGCTTCACGTATGAGTGCAAAATGAACAGAGGATTCCACCATTTTGTATTCATCAGGAGAATCTCAACTCTGATAGGCTTTCGTGACACAGTGTCATGTGGATAATAAGAATCTCGCACAATTGCACAACATGCATCTATTTTCATCTTAGCATTGACTTTGTATGTATCTTATAAGTGTCTTTGACTAAAAGCGTCAGCTAAAATAAAAGTAATATAATGTTATCCTTTAACCAATTTGTAGCTGATGTCTGTGTTTCCCTTTTTGGCCTGTTTATCCATAAGTGTTTCCGTATTACTCTGTACCTGTTTTTACTTTGCCTCAGCCATTATTCACATCCCCTCTTTACGGTCGGGCCATGACAGATCATTTGACTGCTCATGTGAGCATCATGAGAGCACCAACATGTGAGCAATACACGGGGATAATGACACTATCTGTATAACTGTTCCATGGTTCAGTGCACTGAATTCTCCAGAGGTTATGAGACGTTGCCCACATGATGGAAAAAAGACAATCATTTTCTCTGACCTGAGGTCTTGAGTTGAGAGATGATGTTGTGTTAGTTTGACTTTTGGTCAGAAAGAGTCATAGACCTGCTGATGTAGAGGTACATTTAAGCACAACGTGGTACGAATGTCATTACATAGCCCCCACGAATCGCTGCAGGCAGAACACTGGACCTCAGCCAAGAACCAAAACCTCCTATTCCCACCTTAATCTGTGGGAGGGAGGATGGATGGAGAGAGAGGGTGGGAGGTGGGAAACATGGGTGGAATCGGAGGGGAGCGAGAGGAAGCTTGATGAGTGGAAAGTTGGAAGAAAAATTAAGAAAGGAAGAAAAGAAAACATAAGCAAAAGGTCGACCAGTCAAGCATCGTAGTGATAGCGAAAGGCGGAACGGAGCGGCGCAGAGGGATGAAGAGAGGTGGAAACCAAGGGGAGAAAAGGGAGGTTCATCGGCGAGCAAGTGAGTGAAGGAAGAAGGCAGAAGGGGGGACAGAAAGTGTTCACAGGAGAGCCACGAAGGAGGGATGGAAGGATGGAGGAATAATGAGAATAGCAGACAAGGGTGTTGACCACAAATCCCTCCGGATGGATCAGCAACACAGCCTGTAAGAATGTCAGGAGGGGGGAGAAATTAAATGAAACGACGAGAAGTGGGAGGACTCAAGGGGGGGAAGCGAGGTGAGGGAAAGGAAGCATGGGGGCCAGGTCAAAGGGTGGAGAGAGGAAAACGTTTGTGACAAATGACGGAAGAAAAGCAGGGAGAAAGATGACCAAGGGGGGAATCTTAAAGGTGCCACTTGGTTTGTGAGATGTGTGGACTGGTCACACACACACACACACACACACACACACACACACACACACACACACACACACACACACACACACACACACACATGTCCTATTCTTTCCCATGAGGTGAGCATATTTGTGGTGGTGTTATTTTTCGATCCTGTAGTTACGCGTTAGACTTGGTTTTTCACCTTTTGACTACAAACCAGAAGCAGCTATACACAATGTGTGTTCTTCTACCCTGCACACTATTGTTATTCAGCAGAGGAAGTGTGTAAATGAAGGAGAAAACCGTATTCACTCCATGTTTGTCACCTTTGACTTTCTCTAGGAGATGAAATTACAATTTGAATCGAGAACGTTTCTCTTTTTCTAAATGTTCTTATAGTGTTGGTTTTGTATTAATGCCTCTGCTTGTGTGTGTGTGTGTGTGTGTGTGTGTGTGTGTGTGTGTGTGTGTGTGTGTGTGTGTGCGTGCGTGTGTGTGTGTGTGCGTGTGTGTGTGTGTGGGTGTGATAGAGAGAGAGAGAAAGGGTCTAAAGTTAAGCATATGTTTACCCTAGTCAGCTTGCCGTGTCTCTTAACACATGGGGAGATATTGGACCTTTTACAAACCTGCACAAAACACACATATACACTACACACATATTTACACACACACAAACTGAGCTGGGTTGTTTTAAGTTTAAGACCTCAGTCATGCTACATATCCCCTTACACCTCCTCACTGTGTGTACTCTCAACTACAACGGCCCAAAATATATTCACTTTCAAGATACAAATAAAAAAAAAAATGCTAATGAAAAAAAAGGCTGCAAGAAGCTCAACATGGAAACGGTGACACTATAAAGTGAGGCACACAGCTGGGACTGGAACGCTTGTTGACGTTCGGGGATTATAAAGTTGGCCAATTGTCACTATCACTGGAAACTAAAATATATGTTTTATTGACTTATTTGAACAATGTGATCGCATGATTCCTACAATATTGTTGCAGATTACAAGCAAGCAAGCTAGCTGATGTAACAAACCCAGTCATTTGCAATATACTGAATCAACACTTACAATTATGAAACAGACTAACTCCAGAGTGGCAGTTGGCCAATTTTATAATCCCCAAAACGTCAACTCATCTGCATAATAACATGCTAACCTTAAAAGATGGCCAAGCAGTACTCTGCAGATGTCAACCTGATTTGAGTTCATCTTAACTTAACTATTGGCTGTTTATCAAACATAACAGATAAAGGGTTACACACTGTGCACTTTATGTGAGTGATCACTTCAGCGTGGGTGGATAACACCAAAATGGGAAGGTTAAAACTTGAGTTAAAGTCACACAGCTAAATAAAATATGCACACACAGAAAAAGCATATTTGAATGTTGACAGCAGGGTCAGGTTGGCATTGATTTAGAATATTTAAGAGACTTTCTTGGCAGTCCTCATGAAAAAATCAGCGTGTGAGGTCCTGACCTCTAACAGCAGTCTCTGCTCGTATTTTCTTATCATCTTTATAGCCTGCTACTTATAAGAGAGATTTCAGTGTACTGAAGAGATTGTAAGGGCAGCCGTTGCAACAGTGAAGTGTTTGCATCAACAGCGGTTGAATCACAGTAGCAGCTCTGTTTGGAGACCCTGAGCAAAGCTGATAATAGAGGGGGGAAAAAACAGCATGTATACAGAAGGGCAAACACACACACACACACACGTTCCGTTACCAATTCCAACAGCTGGTAACGGGCATTAGCAAGGTTATACGTTCACATAAACACAGTTGCACATGAACAATCTCACACACTCTTATACACATACATTAAAGCACATACATGTGTTTGTGAATGTGTGTGTGTCCATGCACAACCTTTCACTGAGAAAGAGTTCCAGCGCGCACCGAGGGAAATCAGAAAAGCACCCACCAGCCCCTAACTCCTTAGAGTCAGACTTCATAATTACACTCTCACACACACACACACACACACACACACACACACACACACACACACACACACACACACACACACACACACACACACACACACACACACACACACACACACTTTTAATTACAGTCCGCTTCCACAATCCCATTACGTATTTTGGGGCCTTTAGGCGTTTTTCCATCATTTAACTGGTCACAGTTTCTGGTATTAAGGTTTATTGTAAGGGCATGAGTTCACTGCATGTGGCTTTGTATCGTACACCCAGTGGGCCATGGGTTCAATTCTCAGCTGGCCCAGCAGCCCTGCTCCCGTTCCTGCAAGTTCCTTTCATCCGTATTCTGTCACCCCTGACGGGTCCTGCTGTTTAATGGATTGGGAACTGAAGGAAAATGTACACACACACAGAAACACTCCAAAAACAAAGAAAACATCTATAAATGAGTACCCAAGCAAGTAATTGCAAGGCCTTTGGCTCCGTTGAATGAGGTTCTCTGTAATAAACACACCATTCAGGACTGATGTAACATAATAGAAAGAGAGTTGGAGATACCGAGGGGTAAAGAAGGCCTTTGAGGTTCCCTAATAAAAGAAAATCAAGAGGATAGACTTGTTTTTTCTTAAATGATAGCGGTATCGAGGGAGAGATGAAGTGGTGGAGACTAAGGCAGACAGTAAAAATGATAGGGAGAGTAGCAGACACACTGTGATTTCCTGTGGTGAGACGGGAGTTTTAAAGAAGGAAAGACGTGACACACAAAATATAAAGTCTCTGTGTCAAGAGACAAAAAGAGTGCTTCTGGCCATGTGCGCTGGCATTTCTTTTTCATCTGTTTTTGTGTGAGGAAATTACTTTGTGTGTGTGTTGTGTGTCGGAACTCCGAAGGCACTTTGTAGACAGTGTGTGTTCTGTGTGTATGTGAGACACTATCATGTGTCAGTGCGCTGAGGGGCGACAGCGACTGTTTTCTTTGCTCTCTGTGCGTGAAAGAATAAAAATGATGTTTTCCAGTGTGTGTGAGTGTGTGGTGGAGTCAAGAGGACGTGAGAAGAGGATGCTCTTTCACATACTTACACACTTGATTTATTACACACTGCATGCCCTCGGACTGTGTGTGTGTGTGTCTGTGTGTGTGTTTGTGTGTGTGTGTGTGTGTGTGTGTGTGTGTGTGTGTGTGTGTGTGTGTGTGTGTGTGTGTGTGTGTGTGTGTGTGTGTGTGTGTGTGCGCGTGTGTGTGTGTGGTAAAACCTTTGCACTAATTTCTTCCTGTTTGAACAGAAGCAATATGTTCATTGTGTGTTTGTGTATGTGTGCACATAGGAGAAGAAGATGAGTCATGTTGTTATTTTAACTCATATAAAATACAACTATAACAATAAAACTGTCCAGTGTGAACTATAAATATAGTTGCTATGGATACCTGTTGTTAAAAAGTCCTTGTTCTGCGAATTGATTTACACACTACATATTGTTGACCATGAAGTTATATTTGAGTTGTCCATGTAACTGTTGTCATGACACATCTGTGTATGCACGGGTTACGCAAACAACATAGACTGTAAACTAGAATACCACCCGTAAAGAGCAGACCTCCAACAAGGCCAATGGTGCATTCACATGCCCCACGGATTCTCCCATTCTCTTTATATTAGTTAGTGAGCTTTAGGCTATTATGCTTTTTGGTGTTTTCCCTTTCATGTAGAATGTTATATAGGTTTTTGTGCTTTAATGGTCTGCAAAGGCTAAAATCCCAAAGTTGCCTCCAGAGGGAGTTTCTCTCCCCCCCCTGCCTTAAACTCCTTGGTTGTTACCACCTGGTTAGGTGGTAAGAACATGGACGCTACAAAGAGAATGTGTTGTGTTTTAACACCACAATAATATCTGTTTCGGAATTGTTGTTCCAAAAAGCGTTCCTATTTATTTTTCTATTCGGAAACAAATGTTTCACACACCACATGAACGAAGCACAAATTACTTATCTGGCACTATGGATATCAAGGGATGCCATGGATCCAAAATGTAATGTGTTCTTCCTTTTTCCATGCTACTCCGTAATCCTGCTGACAGACAAACAAACTCTACTGTGATGATTTAAGCTAAGCTAAACGTATTTGAACTACAACTACAAATTCAAAGATGATGTCCTTCTCTTAAATCCTTTAATGTTTGTCTATATTCTTTAAATATATGATGTCCTTACTTGGCCTAAGTGGAATCAGCAATGCAGTTGTTTGGAGATTGTTTGTCAAGTTTTCGCGATATTAGCTGGCAGAAACCAAAAGCAAAAATATGCAAAGAGCAGAAAAGTGTGATCACTTTTGCTTGCAATTAATCATGAACCAAAGTATTGAAAATGTGCCCATTTGGACCTGACGATGGCGCTAGATGAAATGAAGAGATTTCCAAAGTTATTTTAAGGACCACATTTCATAGCAATATATCCTATGGTTATATTGTTATATAGACATTTCACTCAGGGCAATAAATGGGAACCTCATGTGGGCACTGAAAAAAAAAGGTTTGGGAAATGTTCTTCCAGTAGGACGGGGATCACTGAAGTCGTTAGGAGACATCGTCTGGGAACCATAAATGTCAAGAAATGTCAAGAAAATTCATCCAATGGTTGATATATTTCTCCTGTGTCACCCCTCTGCCCTTCCTGTACAGGGTAAAGATGGAAAATCCCTACAGTCATTAATGCAACATCATTCATTTTGTTCTCTATCTAGGTTTTCCATGCCAACGCTGACGCCACAGAGGTTGTTCTCAATCGGATCCCGCAGCCGGTCCTGGCCCGCTTCGTACGCATCAAGCCCCAGACATGGAAGAACGGCATCGCAATGCGGTTCGAGCTCTACGGCTGTCAGATCACAGGTAAGAAAGATTAAAAATGTTATGTAGAGTTTCTCAGAGTTCTTCCCCTGTGGGACTCACCCTTGTAAAAACACAGTTGCGGTTTATACCAGTGATATACAGGCTTTTACACCGGGTCAGAAGGTGGGTCACGGCAAAAATAACTCCCTCAGAAAACATTTCCTGGAAATAAAACAAGCACGCAAATGAAAAAGGCGTCTGTTCTCTCCTTATTTACATAACCTAATGGTAAACAATTCAGTCATTTGTCCATCTCCTATTCATACTTCCCTCTATCTTCCACATGCACACCCACTCTCATGTGCACTCACACTCTTGCCCTCGCTCTTTCATATACATATCCTCCCTCTCTGTCTCCCACTCACACACACACACACAAAAAGAAACACACTCGGTCCTAATAGAATAATACTAGAGTGTGATGTGTGGGTGATAACATCAGAGAGTAACAGGCTCTCAGCTTTCATCTGTAGCCCTGGCAAACAAACACGATTTCAACCAGCATAATCAGCTCAATACTATAAATAGATACAACTTAATTAGACTGTCTGTTTGTGTGCGTGTCTCTGTGTGTGTGTGTGTGTGTGTGTGTGTGTGTGTGTGTGCATATGTTTTAGTCAGTATAATAATATGGTTTTGCATTAACCATAAATT